CAGAATCATGACCTTGACAACATATATCAAGGTCAAGGTCATCGGAGCTGGGTCCCCTAAAGTAAACATTTACCAAAAAGAATATTCATATTAAGAGATATTGCTATACGCTATACATATTAAGAGATATTACTATACATACGACTTTTCAATCGTGTGCAATCAATGTCAATTTTCTACATGGAGATCACAGAGTCAATATCTTAATTTGCATGCGTGATCTTATTGTCTAACGATATATTAACTGCTGTGTAATATGTCTGAGGCTCAATCCAGGAGCCGAAACCTGTTACGAGATATATGTATTTTTTTAAGTACATTTTAAATAGTTTTTAAGTAATATCTTTAGTTGTTACGTTATGGAATTATTGAAAGATTTTATTAATTATATGTTTTATATCTGAAAGTTTTGACTCTTACATCGCCTTTTGTCTTCTTGTTACTTATTTTTATACAAAGAGTCCTTTATTTCTTATCTATTAAATTGATATATTAGAGAGTTGCAAATTTTTGAAAAATTTACCAATATGTGCACAGGAAATATTAATTATCTCAAGAGCCTTATTTGTATCAGATATGTAAACATGTAAAAATGACATAGTAAAATAATATACCTGTCGCGCCTTTCCAGAATGCCCTAGCACCTTCTTCTTTGTATATTTTTCTTGCGCAATCCAGCAATCCGTTGTATGTAGTTTGACCTTCTCTAGCTACAACCTAAAGCATACATGTACAATAAAACTACACAATAATCATAATTTATATTGAATAGAATTTCTAGAACAATATATGTGAACATACAACAAGAAAGGAAAGAAAACCTAATTTCCTTGGCAATTATGTCGCCACGAATCTGTCGGCTAAATACGCGACAAACCCTCAAGAATATATATACGGATTTCAAACACACGTGCAGGCTTTGCTCGTCACGAGATGAGGCATTTAAATCTGATAATTCCTTTTATCCTTTCTTCACATCACTCATGCATTTAAAACAAAATAGAACAATGGTACAACGTACCTATAATCAATGATATGAAGTTGCATTATAAGCGATCGAGATAAGAGCGATAATCACTATGAAACTTACAAAAATATTCAAACGATTTCTAAACGACATAATTTAAAATCTTAAAAATAATAACACTCAAAGTAACAGTGACAATATTTTGCGTGACGAGAAGATTAAAGAAAGTTCTAAGCTACCAGTTTCGAGAGTCCAGGGTATGAAATTAGATACTCGAAACCTGTTCTTTTTATTGAACTGGTGCACAGAGTGCAATAAGTTGAAGTGAAACAGATATATGTTTGTTTCATTTCAACTTACTGCACCAGTTCAGACAGTGCAGGCAAAAAGAACAAGCCTTTGGTTTTTAGATATCCTCCGGATAAGATATTGCAAGTTATGGTCGAAGGGTTTTTCCTTGTTCTTAGACCCCGAATGTACATTTGTCGAAGGTCTAAAATAAAAGATGTAAATTTAATAGCATCATTTTAGTTTTATCTTTTCCTCCTCACGAGCGACCACTACGATCCGGCACGAAACGCTAAACCTTTCTTATAATCATAATTTTTAGACTTATTAGTAATTAAAGTGAGAAATGCACCTGTAATCTTGTTTTTATTACATCCGCAGGAGTGACCAATGCTGCTGCAGGTACACCGGCAATCGCACCAGAAACAAGAAGCGACAATGGCGTATTGTAGCCTCCTTCGTCGGCCAATCGCGCTTTCGTGTGAGCATACATAGGAAAGTAAATTGCACTAAATGGCACATCTCGCAAAAAGCAAGCTCTAGCACCCTATAAGAAAATTGCGATTGTTATCACCTCAGCTTGTGAGTGATGGAATGAGTGTTAGCGTTATATATATAAAATTATTATTATCACTATTCACTTTGTACAATCCAAAAAGACCTAATTCCTTGACGACGGTCCACGCCCTAACTTTCGATCCTCCTGCAATCTCGCCAGCTACTTGTAGTCGAATTTTTACTATCTCCAAAGGATTGGTAAATATGACCTGCGATCCTCCAGCCTATAAAATTTGGACTTATTATGCTTTACGTTTCTTGTTTGTTTCCTCCAATTAGAAAAGTGTATACGATTAGAATAAATATTAGGTTGTTCGAAAAGTTTGTTTCAAATTTTCTAATTCGAAATAGTATATTGTACATTTAAAAAATTAGCGATTATACCATTTGATAGAGCAAAATTTTAACTTTAAGAATCTGATTTTTGAATTATGGTACGATGATTTTTAATGAAGTTAAATGATGAAAAATGAAAATCAAAGTGTTCCATTACTTAACTCGCGAATAACTCAGGAACAAAAAATCGTAGGGATATTTTAAAAAAATTTGTAAGGAAAACTTAAGTTTTCACGATAAGCGAAAAATTTTCGTAAATTTTATTTGAGCATGTGAAAATAAAATTAAAAAATAAAATAAAATAATTTCATCATTTTCAGCTAGCAGTCATTTATATGCAAAAATTACCAAATTTACATGAACTAAAACATTAGAAAAACATATAAACAAATAAAAATGTAATTACAAA